CATCATGTTCAATTTAAAAAAAAAAATGCTTGGAAATTATTGCTTACCCGACAATAATTCTATAATTTTAAGGGCTGAATGTTCAGAAGAGGACGGTGTTGACTTGTCTGGTATAGCAGTTCCGCAGGATGAAAATGATCAGATACTATAGACTATGGCCATCAGGGGCGTTATTTCAGGTTTTGTTCAGGGTTAAAAAAAGGGGGGGGGGCAAAAACCAAAACTTGGTCGGCTTGTTAAGTTGTATATTACTGGAGGCGCCACAGTGCATACCAAATTAGATAAAACCAGCAAAATCGGGTTGGGGGGGGGGGCGAAATGTTTTTCCCTACAATTTGGTGTCATTAAAATAGATCAGCACAAAGTGAAATGTATTTATAAATGTATTTATTTTATAATTATTTTTTTTTTGTGGGGGAGGGTTGTTAAATGTTGACATAATAAAATGGGGGGGGGGTCACTGAAAATTTGACAGTTGTTGACAAGAAAGGGGGGGGGTCAAAAATGCGTAGATTTTGTTGACGTAATTAACGGACGACCCCTCAGGGACCTTCCATAAATGATGTCACACAAATTTAGCTGATTTTTTAACTCCCCCCTTCGTCACAAATCTTCACAAAAAGTTAGACCCCCCCCCCCTCAAAAATAATGGCACAAATCTCAGCACCCCCTCCCTTAAAAAAAATTCCTGTGTCCACTACTGTCCTTTACAAACCCTTAAGAAATTCACCTCCCATGGATATCATATTACTGTATCTGTGTCAGAAACATTTCACAAGAACAGTGGTTCTTAACCAGGGGTAATAGTACCTCCCCAGCCCTAAGGTGCGGAAGACCAGAAATAATTTCTGTACAATATTTTGCTGTGTTCACCCTTGCCTGATGATTTCACATTGATGTGCTTTAAATTCCCTTTAACTGACTCCTGTATTTTTAGATTAACTTAATTGATAGATTTTTTATGATTTTAAATATGAACTATACTTGACTTTGTGTCTCAAAATGGTAAAATTGAGCTTGTCATCATAACTAATTTTCAAGTGTTATGTGTTATAAATTTTATGTAGATATTAGATACCTTCTTTATCTTTTATGATTTAAAAAAAAAAAATTGCTTCATTTTTGTGAACATGACATGCTGAAATAATCCTTTTGTTCTTATAAATTGATTTTCATTAATACTCATTCATAATAGTTAATGATTCCTGCTTTGTATACCCATTTTTATAATATTAATTGAGCAGAATTTTTGTCTCGCTTTTAATATTTTGTAAAATTGAGCTTCGGCAAATATTGTATAAATAAAAATAGTATTTAAATTTTAGTCACAAACCTGAAAAAAATTGAGTTTTTTAAATGCATAACTGGTTGTGTGTGCAAGAGATTTGAAAGTTCCAACTTGCTTATTTTAGAAGATAGCTGGTGCCAATACTACACTTTCCTGTCGTTCTGATTAAACCACGCTTATTAGGGGAGTAATTCAATTTTTTTTAAAAATTAATTTTGAAATTTTCATTTAGAATACCTACTATTACTGTTATCTTTGGAGATGACCATCAGTTAATGACCCCAAGCTATCATGGCCAATCCACCCCCCCCCCTCTGAGAGGGGGGGGGAGGGGGGCGTGAATGATGTTAATCATCACACTCTGAGGGAAAGGGTATGGGTAGCGGATTATCAAAACACATCGTTGGAAATACATTAGAACAGTGGTCCTCAATATTCCTAATGCAACGACCCTCTAATACAGTTCATCATGTTGTGGTGACCCCCAATCATAAAATTATTTTCGTTACTATTTCATAAAAAAGCTTTTCTGATTGTTGTTGACGACTTCTGAGTTAGGGTTGAGAACCGCTGCATTATAAAAAAGAAGAAAAAAAAAACACTGGAGATTTGTCATAATCATTGTCTTTTTTCAAAAAAGTTACCTTGTTCCTGTTACAACTATTTATGTACAAATAAAATAGTGCACCAATATGTAGTAAATGCAACATTCTGCTATTTGCCCTCAGGGCGATTTCTACAATAATTATAATGTACAGAAATTAAATAAACGTCCTATTTAATTTATACTGTAAAGAAATTTGTGAATTTACTTAAGAACCATAGGCCTATATGTGAATATCCAATTTTATTAGTGAAACAAGACCTTCATTTCACAATAATAAACCGATAAAAGATACCTAAAATATGTGAGACCTAAATATTTAAAATTGTAAACCCGCCACTTATTTAGAAGGAAATATCGGACACCTAGACATAAATAAAATAAATACAACAGTTTATTTTAATCTAGATACATCCAATTTGGCAACTTTTATAACGTATCTTTAAGGAAAGAAGAGTTCTCCTCAATGTACCACAATGTCACCGTAAAAGATAAAAGATTCATTAAAATGTAATGATTTTGATTTCGTAAAATTTGTTAAATTGTTGGTGTTTTACAACAAAAAGATGTTATTTTACTTTTAAAAACAATTTTAATGAAGTTCCATGAGGTAAAAATGAATTTAAAAATTTATTTTTCGAGGAGCATTATATGTTAATTTAGGACCGCCGTTCTGAGGAGTGCCAAATAGTTATCACATTTCATTTATATGTATGTATATATATGTATATATATATATATATATAGAGAGAGAGAGAGAGAGAGAGAGAAGAGAGAGAGGGGGGGAGAGAGAGGGGGGACATATGGTATTGATATAGTTAAACTTATCTGGACTATGCTGGTATTTCATTCTGTCCTCAGCCTATTTTTCCCTTGAAGGCAAGGGTAAGGGAGGTAGTAAAAATTTGGTCTGAAGCATACAGATAATAGAGTTATTTCTCTTTGATATTCATTTATCCATTTTGTTTGGCTTTTTTCTCCTACATTTCTCTTTCCTTTCTCTTCATTATACCAGAGATTAACATACTATTTTATTTTACCTTTGTCTTTAGTATCCTTTTTCAGAAAGTGTACTAAGTTTATCTCTTAAACATGAAGGAGATTCTTAAAGCTAGCTAGAAATGGCAAATCAGACATGAAAGAAATAGCAAGAAATAGAAAGAAATAGAAAGAAATAGAGTCTGATTTGTGTCCTCGTTTAAACAAAATATATCTCAGTTGACCAAAACTATTAAAGCCTTTATTTTTTTATTATTATTATTTTTTTTTTTTGAAAAACATTATTTAACTAGGCGATGGCTAACAGAGCACATAATATGGGCTAAGTTCTAAGTTTATTTTGTTTTTGTTGTTTTTTTTGTTGTTGTTTTTGTTGTTGTTATGTTGTTTTTGTGTTTTGTTGTTTTTGTGTTGTTTTTTTTTATTGCTTTCGTTGTTTTTGTTGCTTTAGTGTTTTTGTTGTTTTTGTTGCTATTTTTTTTTTTGTTGCTATTTTTTTTTGTTGCTATTGTTTTTGTTGTTTTATTTTTGTTTTTGTTTTTGTTGTGGTTGTTTAAGGCAGACGTAACATGCCAGATAAGTTTCAAGTGACAGGTCAGGGGTCAAACCATTTTTCAGGATTTTGAGTATTTCACACGGAATATTTGCAGGAACGCTGTTCTGAAATTCGAGCTCATGGGCAGAAAGATGAAAAGACTGACGGATGCATTGAGGAAATCTAAAAATGACACAAAACACATGACGCACATGATGAGATTGTGATACGACTTCAAGGGGTAGTACTCGGGAACCAATATCATGGCGAAGACGTGGATGAATCGCGGCCCTTGGTTGGCGATGAAGACAGCGATGACTACCAGCAACATTTTCACAACTTTTTTCTCCTTTGATGTCATGCTGACCTGACCCCGAACTCTCGTGCTGACCCAGTCGGGGAATATCTGCCTTTGCCTGGAGTGGGCCTCTGCGGTGATGTCACTGCGCGGGGGTCCTGTTTTGCTAGGCGTTTCTGTGTGGAAGACTCGAAGCGCGGTTTTCTTAAAACGCGATGCCTTGGCGAGGTGATACGCTATGATGAGGGTGCTGCTCACCATTGCGAGCAGGCTTAGGAAAGGATAGATGAAATGGAACCAGGTGTAGGCCTTAAAGAACAACTGCCCGTGGGTCCAGTAGAATGAGTTGTAGACGTACACGGCTATTTCTGCGGCGAACGCGCTGCTGTACACCCACCGGATGTCGAAGATGAGGAGGATGCAGAAGTAGGAGAAGAAAACCACCACGGACAAGATGGCGCTCAGGGCGAGGGTCAGTTTCGGGGTGAGCAATGTCTTGACTGTGAACGGCAGGCTGACGCAGAGGCACCGCTCCACGGCCACGTACCCGGCGATCACCGCGGACACGTTGCCGGAAATGACGTGGATGTAGGTCAGCTTGGTGAAGGTGATGTTCTCCCAGGACTTGCCGAGCGCCGGCGAGACCCACGAGATGGGCCCGAAGAACCGGTGGACCATCCCGCAGAGAACCTTGACCAGGTCCCACGCGGAGATGGCCGTCATGGTGATGTTGACCGTGTCCTTGAACCCCAGCCTGCAGAAGACGATGATGTTGATGCTGTTGGTAACCACGCCCATTATGCAAATGAGGAGGTTGACCCAGACGTCGACGACGCTGACCAGCACGCTCAGCACACTGTTGGGCACAAACATCTCAGGAGGGTTGAACCCGTCCTGAACATCTCTGGGATCACCGGCAGTGGAGCTCGCCAACTCGACCACGGTGGCTAGGAATGTTGTGTTGCGATCACTGAGTGTTGTCATTTTTTTTTTTTCAAATGAGAGTTTGTGAGGTCAAAGGCCAACTATTATATTGTTGTATTTAAACACAAATGCGGTTCAATTTGTGTATTTATATTTTGTTAGTTTCTTTCGAAGGGTCCATAATTAACAATACAACACTTGTCTGTTTGTACGTTGTTGGTTCTTTCAAAGTGAACATAATGACCAATGCAACACTTTCTGACTTAATGATGTACTGATAATATTTCCAGAGATTCACACAGCCACTTAGTTCATTTCATCATCTGAATACAAAATGTATTTGATCTAACAAAAAAAAACAAAAAAAAAGCATACTTAACAAGTTAACTATTTTTGGTCTCCTGACGTGCAATGTTTTACCAAGTATTACAAAGTATATTTAATCTACTGACTTATAAAGTATTACAAAATATATTTTTTCTACTGACCTACAAAGGATATTTTATCTTCCGCTCTACAGAGTATTACAAAGTATATTTGATCTACCGAGTTACAATGTACATTTGGTTTACTCACTTACAAAGTATAAATTGAGATTATTATACTGAACAACAAATAATTCTCTTCGAGCCACCAAACAAAGTATATTTGATCTTCTGACTAAAAAGTGGCTACAATCTAAATCTAATCAACAAGGAAAGCCTTTGGATCTAATAATTAAGCAAATTTTTGTCCGTTTAACTAATCTTTAAAATTACATAAAACATGAAAGCTGCAGCAACAAAGCGAAGGGTATTTCTGCATGTATCATACATAAAACACATATTTGGTTCATGTGTTTTACCGTCAATGTTAACAATGTTAATGGACTTGAAGAACAAAAAGAAAATATATCCCGAATCTATGAAATTATCCTTTCCGACAAGCACTTTATAGAAATGCTTGAATTTTTCATCTAATCTGTTGGAGAAAGTTCTTTACAAAAATATTTAAAAAACCAAAACAAAAAAAAACACACAAAAAAACAACTAATAGCAACAATAAAATGTAATCAAATTGACCGTAAACCTACTGAAATGAATTATTGTTCTATCGGTGTTTTAGCATATAAAAGTAGTTTTACCGTATAGCTGTACGTGGTGCGGCATCATTAAGGACTACCAAGATGTCTAAGATTGTTTATTGGGGGATTTTACAACTAAATTACATAAAGAATATAACCCTATTGGCACACACACTCAAATGGCTTTAACAATCAAACTACAATCCTTTAAGATCATCTAAATGAAAAGTCAAAGTATTCTATTAGAACAATCAACTGTTTATTGTTCCAAGATGAATCTAAATATTTCAATGTATATCATAAAAAAAAAATATTTTTTTTAAAACTATATATATTCTAACTCTAGTTTTGAGTGAGGAATTAATTAATTTTTTTTTATACCATCATCTAAACCATTTGGGGTAATAATACATTTTGAAAGAGAAGAACAATTATTCTAAACTGCAAGAACTACAGTGGCAATATTCTAAACTGCAAGAACTACATTGGCTATATTCTAAACTGCAAGAACTACATTGGAAATATTCTAAACTGCAAGAACTACTGTGAAAATATTCTAAACTCCAAGAACTACATTGGCTATATTCTAAACTGCAAGAACTACATTGTAAATATTCTAAACTGCAAGAACTACTGTGAAAATATTCTAAACTCCAAGAACTACATTGGCTATATTCTAAACTGCAAGAACTACATTGGGGATATTCATGACAGTTTTCGTGAGATCAGCTTGCGTTTAACATCTTAGAATAAAGTCCACTAAATAAAATGTTGAGACCAGAGACATTTCTTCAGATCCAATTTTAGAAAGAAAACAACCTCCACATCACTGTAACATTTATGTCAAAGCTTTATTCAGATGAACACTATTCTATGCGCAACAGTGCCTCGGATAACCGTTGCCCTTTTGATCAGTGGCCTCTACGTAGAAGTCTGTTTTGTGGCCTCTACGTAGAAGTCTGTTTTGTTTAAAATATTTTAGAATGTTCGAACATAAATTAATTATTTATTTTATTTATTTTTTTTTTGGGGGGGTGGGGTGGGGGGGGGGGGGTAAGTGGGGTTCGGTCAAACTAATTTAGGTTCATCAATAATACCCTAGGATCATCTGCCCAGCTTAATTACCGAGCAATTATTTCAAAATGGGAAGAATTTGGGGGGGTGGGGTGGGGGGGGGGGGGTAAGTGCGGTTCAGTCAAACTAATTTAGGTTCATCAATAATACCCTATGATCATCTGCCCAGCTTAATTACCGAGCAATTATTTCAAAATGGGAAGAACCTTGACCTTAGAAGGTTTTTGAGGTCTGTCGTTCGCAGTAGTAGTTCAAAGCAATTTTTTTGTTTATTTTATTTTTTTCGTTTCATCACGGTATATCTTATAATTAAAATAATTTAGTATAAATAAATTGCTATACAGTAATGTGATATAATATTAATTATGTCGTTATCATCGTATTCGTATACACAATTATACTCTGTTGGAAAATATTAATTTTTATCTTTAACTGTCTTGAAGCCAATTATTTTTATTAATTTTTTTTCATTTTTATTTTTCCATTTTCTTCGACATAATAAGTAATGGAAAAGCTGGAGAGGGAGGGGGTGGGGGGCGATTGGTAACAGCTCAGTACATGGGTAAGTAGAGAGTAGGCTGGGTACAGTAGCGCGTACGCTTGGGTGCAGGCGTGTTTACACTCGGTATTTTTTTTTTTTTTTTTTTTTTTTTTTTTTTTTTTTTTTTTTTTTTCTATTTTGTGGGAAAGAAGAGGGGGGGGGGGGGGGGGGGGGGGGGGGGGGGGGGTGCGATTGGTAACAGCTCAGTACATGGGTAAGTAGAGAGTAGGCTGGGTACAGTAGCGCGTACGCTTGGGTGCAGTCGTGTTTACACTCGGTTCAGCAGCGCGTACTCGTGGTACCGGTATTAATTAGCTTAGTACTACTTTACATGCACGATGACAGCGTCATTAGATGCAGCCCACCGGCAGACTTGATTAACCCCGGCGCCTGCCGACAGTGAACGAGACTCGGATGGCACATGGGTTAATTGTGTGTTAATTGTGTGTTAATTGTGTGTTTAAAAGACTGCCAAGCTCGATCCTCGGTGGATGGGGATGCTAATTAACTAAATAACAAGTTCAGATCCCGCCACCCAGCTAACATTATTTTCTTTTAAAAAATTAAATTATAAATATAGAGATATCCAACACATTCACCTGGTCGACCAAATCTTGGAGCTTATGACCTATGACCTATGAGCTTATGACCTATGAATAATTCATGATCAATTTTATTAATTTAGATTAGGCGCTTGTTAAAATAATTTTTAGTTATTTATTTTGTTCTCTTAAATTTTAGCATAATCAAAGCAAAGAGAAAATTAAATGTGGGGGTTGGGGGTGGGGGGAGACATTTTACATATTAATTAAGCTGTACCTAGGCTTACGATTCAGTGGTCATTCATACGATTCATTGACTATTCATAGGATTCAGTGGATATTCATACGATTATACGATTCAATGTCTATGAAGGTGAGCTCGAACTCTTGACACCTCACATGCGCAAGGCCACCAGAAAAACTGTAATCGTCCATTGGATGTTATGCAGGGGCATCTGCAGGTTAGCTGATGAGCACGCCCTCTATTAGGCACGCCCTTAACTATGCACGCCCTATACCGGACACGCCCTCTACTAGACACGCTCTCTACCAGACACGCCCTCTAAAAGACGCCGCCCACTAATAAGGTTTTTTTCCATCTTAAACCGTTTTTTAAAAGACGATAAATTGTCACTATCATGTGAGCACTGGACCGGAAATGATTAATAAATGCAGACGACTCCGGTTTTTCATCTCTTCAGGACGTGGACCGTGGCATGTCAGCCTGGTGGCGCCAGAATATCCATTCGAGTCGGTGCGTGTAGATGCGTGGGTGTATGGGTGCGTGGTTGTGTGTATATATATTTTTTGTTTTATTTTTAAAACCAAACCGTCCAGCAAGCTGCGAACTCCCAATGGAAACACTAGGTTTTATTTTAAAATACATATTTTATTACACGTGACATACATGGGGTCAAGGTCATTCTTTCGTTTTGTCTATCGTTCAAGAAATCTCTGAACCAAAATTTCTCCCCCCCCCCCCCTTTTTTTTTTTTTTTTTACTGCTTACCTTAGCGAGCTGAAATTGCGCTTTTAAACGTTTAGCAGTGCGCGACATGATATTTGCGCGCATTTGTTTTTAAGCTGGGCTTCATCTTGTTTCAATAACTCAGAAATTAGATGCTGTTCGATCAGCATTCTACTTTAGTGCATGAGAAATCGTAGTTATCAGCCTTACATTACACATGTGTGTCCGAAAGAAACACAGGGTAGAGGAGGAAAATCTGAAGAAGGACAACACAGAAGCGGACATTTCGGCAGTGAGGACTTCAACGCGGGCAAAAAAAAAAAAATACGACGACAGAGAAACTTAGCTGGTGCAGAGATGAAGTTGTCAGATAACTGTCGTGTGTGTAACTCAGTGTGGTGACACACGTTAGGAAGATTAGAGAACTGTGGTTTTTTGTTTGGTTTTTTTTAGAACTTTTGTTGTTGATGTTTTTCAAGGGTATTATAAGAGGGACTGTGTTTAAGACGTGTGAAGTAAATAAATAGGGAGGAAAGAGGGGGGGGGGAAGTTATGTTTAGGGTTGAACTAAGACAGGTCAATTAAAAAAAAGATGTTTCGCCTAAACGTCTCCTCCAGTGGACTAGACAAAGCAAGAAAAAAAAAAAAAATAATTAGTCAATAAAAAAAACCTTACCGTATTTTACC